TAAGTTAAGAGTCAACCACATTGCTGTGGTTCTGGAGTCACATGTAGGCCAGACCAGGTAAGGATGGCAGTTTCCTTCCCTAAAGGGCATTAGTGAACCAGATGGGATTTCCCAACAATCAACAATGGATTCATGGTCATCTTTTAGATTCTTAATTCCAGATTTTTTTATTGAATTCAAATTCCACCATCTGCCATGGCAGGATTCAAACCCAGGTCCCCAGAATGTTATCTGGGTCTCTGGATTAACAGTCCAATGATAACACCACTAGGCCATTGCCTCCCCCTATCCTATTATCATACTTTAGCCCTTTGTACTAACTGAAATGCTTAACTTACAGATTGTTTCAGGTTGTTGCGATCATTCAGTAGACTTTCTCTTGGTGTCAAACTTTGTTTGATGAGTTACTTGCGAAGTTCTGGGATGTTTTACTTGGTAAAGCCACAGAATCATTTTAAATACACAAGGAGCAATCCAGACTTGAGCACTGTTTCCCATCTTTGCAACTTCAACCTTAAAGACAAGCTACAAACTCTGTGTCAGTGAGGGCAATAGTGACTCATTTCTGACTGAAAGCTAAGGAAAATGCAATCTCTCTCCTCAGGTAGCTTTTGGAATTTTTAACTCCGTGTTCACTCCCTAACTCTAAACCACTGAAGATACCTCTGCTTTCTATATTTGATTTGCTAATCGAGTACATTGATCGAGAAATATTCTCGGTCTGACTGAAGCATCTATCCCTTGCTGTGCCGTCGGGAATAGGAATTTTCCATCCAGTTACAGCAGGAACTGCTTTAACTAAGTCTTTAGGTAGTTTTGACAGTGACATGGGGTGTTGCAGAATTAAGTAACTTAATGCCATCCAATACATTTCAAAAAATGACCTAATGACAGATATTATGCCGTCTGGGTCTGTAAAGATTTCATTTCAAAGTAGCAGGATGTATAGAGGGATTTGGAATTCCTGTGGTGTTGGCTCAAAAATCATCTGTTAAAAACCAAAATACTGTTGACTGGGAAGTTAAAAAAAGTTCTAAAAAGTTTCTGAGTTTCAGAGAATACAGTTTTGAGGTCACCATCTGTGAGACTTTGAATCCCATTCAAAGAGAGATGATAATTAACATCTGGACCAGGGAAAGGAAAATCACGGGATAATGCCCTTGGGTTCATTGGTCACTTAAAGGACACTGAGTGAAGCTTGAGAACCAAAGCGGATTTAGACAAATAACAAAACAAAACCCAGCGAGCCTGGCTGGAGTTACAAGGATATTTTTCAAGAATCATATTAAAGGAAGATGTTTTCAAGGATCAAGAGCTACTTGAGAGAAAAACGGTAACTAAGCACAAAATGGATTAACACTGGGAAAAAACAAACCCACATTTTGAAATGTTCATAGAATCCCTACAATGTGGAGTCAGGCCATTCAGCCCATCAAGTCCATACTGATCCTCTAAACAGCATCCCACCCAGACCCACCCCCACCCCCTTCACCCTATCCCTACATTTCCCATGGCCAATCCACTTAGCCTGCACATCCCTGGACACTATGGGGAACTTGGCATGGCCAATCCACCCTAACCTGCACATCTTTGGACTGTGGGAGGAAACCGGAGCACCCGGAGGAAACCCACGCAGACACGGGGAGAATGTGCAAATTCCATGCAAACAGTTGGCCCCGAGGCTGGAATCAAACATGGATCTCCGGCATGGTGAGGCAGCAATGCTAACCACTGTGCCACCATTCTGTGTAACGGTTTTAAAAATGTAATGTGCAGTAATTTGAATCATTATTCCACCAAGTGACACAGACTTAGTAATTTGCCTTTAAAGTTGAAATTGCACAGCTGTGAAACTGGTCGGATGAGAGGACAATGTTCATTTGGTACAAAAACAAATCATTGGTCAGGAATCACCTAGACCTTTAAACAAAAACTATCTTTCAAGGTTTCGCATAGAGTTTTGTGGTGCAATGGTAGTGTCCCTACCCTTGGGTCAGAAGGTCCAGGTTCACGTTTCACTGCTGCAGGGGTATATAATAACAGCTGAACAGCTTGGTGGATAAGTAACCAAGTCTGAGCCTCTGGATACATGTTCACTGACCTGCTGAGATTTGCCTGTATTTAGAATCTTGTGGTGAAGTGGTAGTGTCCCTACCTCTGAATCAGGAGGCTTAGGTTAAAGTCCCACCTACCCCAGGCATGTAATAACATCTCTGATCAGGAAAGGTTTCGGCCCGAAACATTGACTTTCCTGCTCCTCTGATGCTGTCTGTGCTTTTCCAGTCTCACATCTATAGCCTCTGGCTTCTGGGATCTGCAGTGATTATTGAGTCCATGAAATGCCTACTGTCAGTTTTAAAGGTCAGGACTGTCCAAAACACAAGCTAATAGTGAATTAGGAATTCTACCAGGAATAACTGTATTTCTGATTGGTTTGGCCTGCATGTAGGCGTGTGATCTCAATACAGAGGGTTCCCAATTTGTGAATGTCCGACTTACAAATGTGATCTCATACAGGGATGCACTATAAAGATGTGACATACAAAAGTTTCCTGTGCTTACAGACAGCTCCTTTACATTGTCCTGCATTGTGTTCCGACTTGCAATCAGACTTGAGGATGAGGCCGGATGCAGACTGGGAACTACCTGTATTAAAGACAACAAGGTGTAGAGCTGGATGAACACAGCAGGCCAAGCAGCATCAGAGGAGCAGGAAGGCTGACGTTTCAGGTCTAGACCCTTCTTCAGAAATGGGGGAGGGGAAGGGGATTCTGAAATAAATAGGGACAAAGGGGAGGCGGGTAGAAGATGGATAAAGGAGAAGATAGGTGGAGAGGAGACAGACAGGTCAAGGAGGCTGGGTTGGAGCCAGTAAAGGTGAGTGTAGGTGGAGAGTTAGGGAAGGGATAGGTCAGTCCAGGGAGGACGGACAGGTCAAGGGGGTGGGATGAGGCTAGTAGGTAGGAGATGGGGGTGGGGCTTGAGGTGGGAGGAGGGGATAGGTGGGAGGAAGGACAGGTTAGGGAGGCGGGGACAAGCTGGGCTGGTTTTGGGATACAGTCGGGGCGGGGAGATTTTGAAGCTTGTGAAGTCCACATTGATACCATTGGGCTGCAGGGTTCCCAAGCGGAATATGAGTTGCTGTTCCTGCAACCTTCGGGTGGCATCGTTGTGGCACTGCAGGAGGCCCAGGATGGACATGTCGTCTGAGGAATGGGAGGGGGAGTTGAAATGGTTCGCGACTGGGAGGTGCAGTTGTTTGTTGCGAACCGAGCGTAGGCGTTCCACAAAGCAGTCCCCAAGCCTCCGCTTGGTTTCCCCGATGTAGAGGAGTCCACAAGGGGTACAGCGGATACAGAATACCACATGAGCAGATGTGCAGGTGAACATCTGCTTAATGTGGAAAGTCTTCTTAGGGCCTGGGATGGGGGTGAGGGAGGAGGTGTGGGGACAGGTGTGGCACTTCCTGCGGTTGCAGGGAAAAGTGCCGGGTGTGGTGGGGCTGGAGGGGAGTGTGGAGCAGACAAGGGATTCACGGAGAGAGTGGTCCCTCCGGAAAGCAGATAAGGGTGGGGAGGGAAAAATGTCTTTGGTGGTGGGGTCGGATTGCAGATGGCGGAAGTGTCAGAGGGTTCGCAAACAAAATATGAGGTGCTGTTCCTGCAAACTTCGGGTGGCATCGTTGTGGCACTGGATAGGGATCATATTCCGCTTGGGAACCCTGCAGCTCAATGGTATCAATGTGGACTTCACAAGCTTCAAAATCTCCCCTCCCCCTACCGCATCCCAAAACCAGCCCAGCTTGTCCCCACCTCCCTAACCTGTCCTTCCTTCCTCCTATCCCCTCCTCCCAGCTCAAGCCCCACCCCCATTTCCGACCTACTAACCTCATCCCGCCCCCTTGACCTGTCCGTCCTCGCTGGACTGACCTATCTCCTCCCTAACTCCCCACCTACACTCACCTTTACTGGCTCCATCCCCACCTCTTTGACCTGTCTGTCTCCTCTCCACCTATCTTCTCCTCTATCCATCTTCTATCCGCCTCCCCCTCTCTCCCTATTTATTTCAGAATCCCCTTCCCCTTCCCCATTTCTGATGAAGGGTCTAGACCCGAAACGTCAGCTTTCCTGTTCCTATGATGCTGCTTGGCCTGCTGTGTTCATCCAGCTCTACACCTTGTTGTCTCAGATTCTCCAGCATCGGCAGTCCCTACTATCTCAACTACCCGTATTAGTTTTGTTCACTGCATGTCTGCTTTGACATATTTTACCAAAGGTAAATGTTTTGATCGTTGTCAATGTTTTTTTTAGTGAATGGTGGGAAATGTTAAATAAATACTTACATGCATTCAGTTATTATAGCATTTTTCAATGAAAATTAATGCATGTGGCTGCTTTGGTATCACTGTAGCCACATCTGTGTTTTTTTAATTCATTTTGTGGGATGTGGGCGTTGCTGGCTGGGCCCAGCATTTCTTGCCCGTCCCTAGTTGCCCTTGAGAAGGAGGTGGTGAGCTGCCTTCTTGAACCACTGCAGTCCTCCTGCTGTGGGTTGACCCACAATGCTATTAGGGAGGGAGTTGCAGGGTTTTGACCCAGCAACAGTGAAGGAACGGTGATATATTTCCAAGTCAGGATGGTGAATGTCTTGGAGGTGAACTTGAAGGTGGTGGTATTCCCATGTATCTGCTTCCCTTGTCTTTCTAGATGAAAGTGGTCGTGGGTTTGGAAGGTGCTGTCTGAGGATCTTTGGTGAATTTCTGCAGTGCATCTTGTAGATAGTACACACTGCTGCTACTGAGCGTCGGTGGTGGAGGGAGTGGATGCTTGTGGTTGCAGTCCTAATTAAGCAGGCTGCTTTGTCCTGGATGATGTCAGGTTTCTTGAGTGTTGTTGGGGCTGTATATAATAACATGTCCAAGACACTGTTTACCGCTGCTTTAAAATCTTCTGCTCAGGAGGTAAAGCAACATGTGAAAACACCAGTCCATATCCCCAAAAAAAGTTTAAAATCAGTTTTATTTTTCTTTTCTTCATACAGGTTTTAAGGCATCTGCATGAAAGACATAATTCTGCAAAGGTTATAAAATCATTTACGGCCAGCCTGGTATATCATTTGATCTTGCTTTCTAAACTTTCCATTTGTCTATGTGAAAGTTAACCTGTGTTAAGTCCATTAAATATGTACACAGCAACAGCACATCAAGCTTTAGACATTCACTTGGGGCAAAAATCACAGCACAAAAAGGACGAAGACTGCCATTATTCAAAGTTATAATTAGAGCTATTTACAGGTCCCTTATTATGGCATGATGTCTTAAAATGTGCGTAAACTGATCCAACAGGGGGTTGGGCTGGGGCAAGGCAGGCAGCTATGTATTTAGGATTTGTTTTAACACTTGATATCTGGAAGCACAACATGATGCTACCATAAAATGCCATCTAGCTCACCCCCCCTTCAAAGTGGTCACACATCTACAAATGGCAGGTCCAGCGCATTATAATGAAACAAGACAACAAAGTAGTCATCGTGCAAGGTCTCTCATTCATGCTATTCTGTTACGTGAACTCTGAAAGCTACTCGACCCAAGAACCGGTCACGATCATCATCATTTTTCAGATTGGTACCAGTGATTTTGCACTCAATCATTAAATCCTTGTAGGTGTCATTGGTATCCAGCATTAGTTTTACAGCAACCAGAGGCTGAGAGTAGTTTACCTGCAAGGAATGACAAAACAAAAGGAAATCAAGTAACTGTAACTTTTAATATCAACTCTTCTGAACATCTTTAGTTCCATTGGAGTTGGACAGATGATCTCCCAACTTGAGACACGAAACCAGCTGTTTACTTGTCAAGCCAAACAATACACAAGAAGACTAATGCTCACTCACTAACTTCACAGTCATGCAAAACTGATACTGCAACATTTGTAAATCAGCCAGGCTTCTCTTTTTCATTCATTGTCACTGGCCAGGCAGCATTTATTGCCCATCCCTAATTGCCCAGAGGGTAGTTAAGCGTCAACCACATTGCTGTGGGTCTGGAGTCACATGTAGGCCAGACCAGGTAAGGTCTCACTAAAGGCCATAATCACTAACAGATTCATGGTCATTATTAGACCCTTAATTCTAGATTATTATTGAATTCAAATTCCACCATCTGCCACAGCGAGATTTGAACCCAGAAAATTACCTGGGTCTCTGGATTAACAGTCTAGTGATAATACCACTAGGCCATCACCTCCACTCCATGTGTACAGAGTCAGGAAAGGGATTGGCCATTTGTTTGGAGTTTTGCTGATCTGTACCTCTAGTCTATTTACCACTTCCTTCACTTCCCTTGAAACCTTTAACTAACGAAAATCTATGAATAAAAACCGAAAAAGAAAACTGCAGATGCTGTAAATCAGGAACAAAAACAGAAATTGCTGGAAAAGCTCAGCAGGTCTGGCAGCATCTGTGAAGAAAAATCAGAGTTAATGTTTCAGGTCCAGTGACCCTTCCTCGGAACTGATGGTAGCTAGGAAAATGTTGGTTAATGTGCAGAAAATAGGGAGGGGGGAGGAGTAAGGAGTAAATGATAGTTGGGGATAGAGCCCACTTTATAGTCTTCTCTGAAATTTCAATTCATCTGACATGCACAGATCTTCTATGTAGCAGTGAACATTCATATACAATGACAATGTTAAACATGAGGAGAAAATTGTGTTATTAAAATTTAAACAAACTTACATGGGCTTTTTTGCCATAATATGGGTAGTACATTTTATCAAATGATCCAAAGTACTTTATATCGACTTGTGGCTCCTTCTGTAAAATATAAGCAAGAGGTTACAATCCTTTACTCGAATACTATTACTGAACTGATCAGAGGTTCAAAGAGGCATATGCAATATATGGTAATTTAAAATAAACAAATTATGGATTTAGCATCAGAGCCATCATTTTGTGCACATATTGAAACTGCTGGTTAAGTGAATTGAGGGAGTCTGTCAGACCCAAGCAGAATGAATCCCAAGTGTTGACCTGTTATGTCTCTTCAGTCAGGCTGAGGGAGGGAAGTGAACATTAAGTGATATTTATTACTCCTCAGTGGTCACTTATAATCAAAAGGTTAAAGAAAAGTCACAAACTTGCTGCAAGAGACATGTTTTGATAATTACAACATATGAATCAGGAGCAGATGCCACTTCGATGAGTTAAGCCTGCTCCCCTGTCTGACTGTTTACTTCCCGATCTGCTATTGGAAGTCACTGCTGCAATCGGTGTGTACAGAATATCACAACAGCTGCAGCTTAGAGGGAACGTTGCCCCCTTATCCCCCAAATAAGCTTTCACTGCCTTGCTTATCATGAAACTATTATCCTCTGGCTTTTGAGAAATAGAGCTCCAAAGCCTCTCAACCAGCTTGGAGGAAAAGAATTCTCATCTTTGTCTTAACTAGACAACCTCCTTATTTTTAAACAGTCATCCAAAAGGACACATCTTTTCCACATCAACCCTGTCACGATCCCTGAGGATTATACCCATCTCAATCAAGTCGCATCTTACTCTTTAAACTTCAGCTGATAAAAGCCAAGTCTGCCCAACATTTCCTCACAAAAAGGAACCCATCCATTCCAGGTATTAGTCTGATAAACTTTCCCTGAACTGCTTCCAAAGCATTTCCATCCTTCCTTAAATAAGGAGACTAATACTGTACAAAGTATTCTCAATGTGGGTCTCACCAATGCCCTAAAGCATTATCTCTTTACTTTTCAGTTCATTGTCACATTGACATTGTGCCAAACAGAAAATAACCCACTTATGTTTGCTCTGTTTTCTATTAGCTAACCAATCCTCTATCTGTATATGTTACTCCTTACAATATGTGGTTTTCTTTTCTGCAATGACCTTTGATATGGCACCTTCTCTAACACCTTCTGGAAACTGTACCACCCTTTACCCACAACACGTTACTTCTGGGAAGAACTCTAATAAATTGATTAAACAGGATTTCCCTTTAACACAACCATGTCGACTCAGCCTCATTACTGTGAACTTTTCTAAATACACTGCTATAACATCTTTAATCATCGCTTCTAACATTTTACCTATGATGTATGTTTTAACTAGCATCCCGTTTCCTCTTTACTGTTTTCCTCTCTTTTTGAATGAAGGAGCTACATTCCTGACTTACCATTCTAATGAAACCTTTTCTGAACTTTTGGAAAACTAAAGCCAATTCAACAATAATCACACTAGCCAGGATCCTCAGATGAATTCCATCAGCACAGAGATAGTGTTCCCTCTAATTTTCTTTCCAGCCTTTGAAGTCCATACGTAGCAGCGATTTCTGGAACCAGAAGATTGCTGTACTGAAACCTCAGAGTGGCTTACAGGGAATGTTAGAGGCAATTGCTAGCCCATAAATCCAAGAATTTACTCTATACCATTTATGTGGTGATTGTAATATTCTTGAGTTCCTCCCTCCTGTCATTTTCTGATTTACAGCTATCTCTGGAACGTTTTTGTATCCTCCATTGTGAAGAGTGATGCAAGAAGTCAATGCAATGTGTCTGCCACCTCCTTACTTTCCATTATTACCTCCACAGACTTATATCATCCTTCCTTACTGTGTCAATACAATCATTAATCAGCACAGCCATCCCTCCACATTCTCCGAGATTTCTGTCTTTCCCAAATGTCCTGTACAATATACTAAATTCAACCCACATTATCTCTCACTGTATTTTTACGGAGGTGCAGTTGGAGAAGAAGGAAATTAAAGACACCCTACAACTGTGGAGCTACTCACTGCAACCATTCAAACTCTACGACTATATAAAACTCTAAATTTTAGATTCTTTCATTTGATATACATAACATGAATACGCACATCTCAACAAAAGTAATTAATTTCTCAAATTTGATATTTTCCTTCAAGTGCACGTTCAGTTTGATGTGAAATTTCTGTCTTGCTAGCAGAGGACGAGCACTTTTTCAAACTAAGTGTCAAAAGGACAGAATAGTGTAAACATCAGGCTCCTAAAATTTAAAACAGAAAAGCACCAACAGAATAGTTACAAGTAAATCATCTAAATTGGAAACTTCTAAATTCTAAAACTTCATTTTAGCAAAAGTGCATTTGAATTCTAATACACAGGTGACATTTTATTTGTGGGTGACACTGATTTAGACACTGACCTTTACAGATTGGTAAAGAACACATTTAGAACATCCCAACGAGCAATAATCAATTATGCAATTCTCAAGACATTAGCCATGTAGAAACTCATCTGCTGCTTTCCTTTTTCTTTAAATGTCAAATGTCTGTTCTACTTTAGCTTTCTGCTGTAACTCATTCTATTTGTAAATTAAATGGATTGATAAAACTAGTTCAATAAGGCTAAGGGCAATTAAACACACAGAGGCTACAAAGGAATATAGATACAGAGTATAATGTGTGAACATTATCATACGGTCAAAGAGATTTACAACATGGTGAAAGGCCTTTTGGCCCATCATGTCCATGCCAGTCAAAAACAACCACCTGACCATTCCAATCCCATTTCCCAGCACGATGCCTTGGCAAACCCCATGCACATCTAAATATTTCTCAAATATGATGAGGGTTTCCACCTATACCACCCTTAGCACCCTCTGGGTGAAAAATCTTTTCCTCTCATCTCCTTTAAACCTCCTGGCCCTTCCCTTAAATCTACATCCCTGGTCATTGATCCCTCTATCAAGGGGAAAGGTTCCTTCCTGGCTACCCTATCTATGCCCCTCATAATTTTATCCATCTCAACCCAGTCTGTCCAATCTCTCTTTGATACTTAAACTCTCCAGCCCAGGCAACATCCTGTTAAATCTCCCTCTGCACTGTCTCCCAGTGCTATCACATCCCTCCGATAATGAAGATCGTGATGAACTAACTTCTAATTCCAAATTAATTGAGTTTTAAATCCCACCACCTGCCCTGGTGAACACGATCCCTCAGCATTAGCCTGGCCTTCTGGATCACGAATCCAGAGATATTTCTAATGCATCAGCACCTCCCCTACCCATCTGTGAATGTGTCCATGTTTGGCAGGATGAATAAAAATTATGATTTTATCTAAATGGTAAGAGAGAGAGAGAGATTGTAGAGCTCTGAGATGTACATGGATCTGATCTGGGTCTCCTGGAACATGAATCACAAAATATTAGTATGCAGGTACAGCAAGTAATCAGGAAAGGTAAAGGTGTGTTCTTATTTATTGTGAGGGGAATTGAATCCTGAAGGAGGGAAGTTATGCTTCTGTTATACAGGGCATTGGTGATACCACATCCAGAGTACTGTGTTCCTTTATTTACAGAAGGATGTAAATGCACTGGAAGCAGTTCAGAGAAGGTTTATGGGGCTAGTTGTTGGAATGGGTAGGTTGTATTCCCAGGGAAGGTTGGATAAACCTGGCTTATGCTGACCACAATTTAGAACTGTAAGAAATGACTGAATTGAAACATAAGATCTTTAGGAATCCTGGCAGAGTAAATGTGGAAAGGAAATTCTCTCTTATGGGAAAATCTAGAACTAGTGGTCACTGTTTAAAAATAAAGGGTCCTGCATGAGATGCATGGATAGGATGGATAGTCGGAGCTCTGCCAGTATGGAAATGTCAAATACTAGGGGGCATAAATTTAAGGTGATGGGGGAATGTTTAAAGGAGACATGCAAAGAAAATTTTTTACACAATGTGTGGTAGGTGTCTAGTACATGCTGCCAAGGAACATGGTAGAAGCAGATATGTTAGCAATGTTTAAGAGGCATTTATACAGACACCTGAACAGGCAGGGAATAGAGGGATATGGAGCATGTGCAGACAGATGGGATTAATTTAGAATGGCATCATGGTTGGCAGAAACATGTTGGGCTGAAGGGCCTGTTCCTGTGCTATACTGTTCTATGTAGAACAGTGGATGTGGTGTATATGGATTTTAGCAAGGCATTTGATAAGGTTCCACATGGTAGGCTCATTCAGAAAGCAAGGAGGCATGGGATTCATGGAAATCTGGCTATCTGGATACAAAACTGGCTGTCCAATAGAAGACAGAGGGTGGTAGTTGATGGAAAGTATTCAGCCTGGAGCTTGGTGACCAGTGGTGTTCTGTAGGGATCTGTTCTGGGACCCCTGCTCTTTGTGATCTTTATAAATGACTTGGATGAGGAAGTGGAAGGGTGGGTTAGTAAGTTTGCCGATGACACGAAGGTTGATGGAGTTGTGGACAGCGTGGAGGGCTGTTGTAGGTTGCAACGGGACATTGACAGGATGCAGAGCTAGGCAAAGAAGTGGCAGATGGAATTCAACCCAGAAAAGTGTGAAGTGATTCATTTTGGAAGGTCGAATTTGAATGCAGAATACAGGGTTAATGGCAGGATTCTCGGCAGTGTGGAGGAACAGAGGGATCTTGGGGCCCACGTCCATAGATCCCTCAAAGTTGCTACCCAAGTTGATAGGGTTGTAAAGAAGGCGTATGGTATGTTGGCTTTCATTGGCAGGGGAATTGAGTTTAAGAGCCGTGAGGTTATGCTGCAGCTCTATAAAACCATGGTTAGACCACACTTGGAACATTGTGTTCAGTTCTGGTCACCTCATTATAGGAAAGATGTGGAAGCTTTCGAGAGGGTGCAGAGGAGATTTACCAGGATGCTGCCTGGACTGGTGGGCAGGTCTTATGAGGAAAGGTTGAGGGAGCTAGGGCTTTTTTAATTGGAGCGAAGAAGGATGATAGAGGTTTACAAGTTGATGAGAGGCATAGATAGACTTTTTCCCAGGGCAGAAATGACT